GTTTCTGATGACATAATGTTGAGTTAATATACCTTCAATCGAAGCATTTCCTTGAAAATGTTTTGTTGTAGAGAGCCCATTGATTTTGATTACTCGAAACCATTGGTAAAATCGATAGAAAAGGCTGTTAGAACTGTTGTTTTGAGGCTACCCAGATATACCACCAGAGCGTAAGTTCTTGCCTTTTAGCGTTGCAAATTTCGTAGTAAAGTTCTTCAATTTAAGACACATATCATTCGGTCACCTTGGTCAAGATTCAGCAGATCTTGCATCTAACCTCGATGAGGTACAATATATTTATAAGTTATATTCATTTTTTCTTGACATCTAATAATTTAAGGTTATAAATGCTGTTACTAACAATTGCCCTGGAGGACTGTCCAATGTACGTTCAGTTTATGTGCAGCCTGTTGGTGGAACACCCACTCTTCCAATCTATTTCGACAGCGGTCAGTTGATGCAGTAATTGTTAACAAAATCTGATCTATTCTGGTTTTGATCAGGCTTTTTGTCATTGGCATACTGACTTCGTACTATTTAAGGGAAATCATCTGACGTTAAACTTGAGCGGCCTTCTAAACGAAGAAGAGCCGTTGAACAGGTGTCCGATGAATGTTCTACTCTTCCTGATGGGCTAAAAGTACATTTTGAATTTTTAAAAACTCTTCATCAACATCTTTTTTGTCTTTCATTCAACTTTTGATATCTCGAGTATCAGCTTTTCGTACGTCACTTGACTTCAGACTTCATCACCTATTTTAGCTAGCGGTACGCAGAAATGGTAAAGTTCGCGTAATCAAGGAAGACAGCAATAGTAATGCAGCGGTGCATTATCCAACAGGTTGGTGAAGTTGTTTACGTTCGTTTTGCATCTAACATTTTTCTGAAAATTCTCTTTCAAGTTCATGATGAATGGGAGGAGAGGGATGGATTGAAACCTACGATAGATCCCGCTAAATTGAAGCGTAAACATGCCATTAAGAAAAAACGAATGGTAGGTCTTACCAATTGTTGTTTGTTTTACTTTCCAAATTTAAATCACAACATTTTGCAAATTTTTGAAAAAAATTTCCAGCAAAAACGTTTGGCCCAAGTAAAGATAAAATCTGGAGAAAGAGTTGCGATACAACCGGAAAGCCATTTGAAAGAGGAGTAAGATTGTTTAGTTGAGATAGACAAGCAATATATCTCAATTGTTACACTTGTTATTGTTATTTTTTCTGCAAAATCCATATGTTGCTTGATTACATTGTTACCATATCTGTTTACTCTTTGTTTGTGATTCTGCATTATGAAAATAAATGACTGCGAATTCGAAAGTATTGCATTTGCAAGGGAGTTCCTCTAACTCTTTTTTTTATTGGTGTGGTGCTTTTTCTTAACTACTTCGGGTTTTTAGTTTTTTGCAGGATGTCTCTGCCTTGGTACTACCTCGAAAAGCCCACGCGAGTAATCTTGTTAAGGTCCACCTTTTCTTCTTTCTTTTGAATGCAAAGCTAAATGAAATTTACAGGTGTTACTATGCGCTATGCGCTTTCACTTATCCAGTATTTGTTGGATTGAACTGGAAAAGTTATGCACCCAAACGAGCTGAGGTTAGTCTCTTATTTTGTGATGGTTAATAAAAATCCTGCAATTGTACTCTTGAATTTAGGTACTAGCGGGAAAATCTCTGAGAGAGGAGATACTCAATCCGTTGAATATTAAGAAATAATTAATACAAATTGTTAGGTTCATAGATTGCACAGTTTTCATCTGTTGTAATTATCGCAAGAAGTTATATTTTTAGTCATATCTATGCTTCAGATCTCATAGCCTTAGATAGAAGTTCTGAAGTCTAATAAAAGATCAAGCAAAGAAGGATGAAGTGCTTTTTGTGGATTCTGAAGTTGCAGGAGTATACTTTTCTTCTTCACTTACGTACGAGATTGTTAGTTTGAATCACATTTCCGCACTCTGCTTTCTTCAGCAAAGTCGTTGTTGCACAATTGCTTATCGCAGACATGGTTTCCTTGAGTATCACTGCTGATGCCTTCTTCTGTTCTATCTTGCCTTGAACTACCAAAATCAGAACATTTGATCACCTTTAAATTGTTAATTGGTATTTTGGTGGACATAAATAGTCAATGCAGCAATTTTTACTGCAGCCGCAGCGACCGTTCGTTGAAAATTGTATGGCAAGAGGTTGACTTTTAGGTCCGAGCTTTTCGTTTTCATTTAGTATGGTTTATTACAATCGTTACTTTTACAAAAAATTATCAAAATACGTGCTTTGCTGATTATGAAAATGCATAGGAGTCTCATGTCTGCGTGTAACTTTCCCTCAGAATTTACCTTGATTACGCTTTATGTGGTAATACCACTAAGACTTTTGTTTGAACAAGGGCAAAAGAAGTACAATTATAATCTGCTCAAAGAAAATGGTATTAGATAATAAGACTTTTGTTTTTCTGAATGTTAGTACTGTTCAGAGGGATTAGGTGCAGCTGCAACGGCACATGATTCCGCTGTTCAAAATTCGAGCTTTATACTGTGCTGATCAAAATTTCAAAACAATCAGAAAGTATTTTTTGATAGTGATGATATGCTTATAGATTAAGAATAAAAACTTAACAGAACTTGGCGGAGAGGAGGACTCACTAAGAAGATAACGTGTGGTCTATTAGATTGAGTAGAGAATCAGCGTAGAGTCGGGATCGATAATAAGAGCTGAAATTTCAGTTGCAAAGAAGCAATCCGCACGCAAAAATATGAACATGTCTCAGAAAACTGATTCCCTTACATCTTTGCACGTTTATCACTCTGGATCTGCTAAATGAGTCTCCTGTCTTCAGAATTCTTGATTCAAGACGCGGTGTCCATTTATTCTATAATTTTCCAAATCAACCTCGCTCCAATCAGTTTACCGCATTGTTGGTCTTTTTATAGAATCTTCAGCAACAGCGCCATCCTTCTAAAGCGCATTTCGGATTTTGCTGATATATCAGTATCATGTATCTATTATCTGGCGATGGTAGCAACTCTCATCTTAGCTGGATCCTGTTGTTGAAGGTGTGATCTGGCGGAGTGATTCCTAATCCATCGCTGCATCCTTTTTATTGTATGACTCACTTATGTACACTCGGCTTACTTGGCCAATCACCGCTATATAGCATTTGATGCATTACAGTTTGGTACCATTGGATTTGAGTTGCACTGGTACTCGTTCATCACAGAATTCATGTGAGATTCATTACTCCATTCAGGCTGTATCTGACCGATAATCCTCCTTAAGTCCTCCTTCAGCGACCAAATGTGACCTAGTGATTGACTTGCCATCGATATATACGACTTGTGATGTTGCACCACCCACTTTCACACATTTTAAGTACGAAAATGTTATATTATATTAATAAAACTAGCTGGCAATCCTGGTCACGCCCGGCATCAATTGATGAAACCTGAAAATTTCTGTATTTGTAAATTGTAAGTGAAAACAGAGGACTGCTTATATTCCAGTCGCTCCTATTGCAGTGTTTCGTTCGTTTTCTTAGCAGTCAACAGAAAAATAATCTGTGTAATTATCTTGTTTTTTCCTATTTTTAAGAGTAACCGCTCCGCTCTAAGGAGTAATCGCTCCACATCTTGTTTTTTCTATTTCTAAGAATAACCGCTCCGCTTTAACTGCTTCCATTTAGAACCATATGTGTTTACATTCTTGCTTAATTAGATAGAAATTAATAATTGCCTAGGCTTATTTTTGAATAATGAATTTGTTTGGCGCAACAAAGTCGTAATTTATCGTCGAATAGCCGAGTAGGCATGTCCAACTTTACTCGGTTGTATAGAATCTCTGAGGTGTAGCCCACCAGCCTCTCCACTTTTATGGGGCTCTATCGCTGTCATTGGCGCCTACGTCTGTTTTTGCTGCATTGCCTCCTGCATACCTTTTGCTTAAATCTCAAGTCGTAAGGATGATGTAGAGTTACATTATTAAGCAAAAAGCAAAGTTAGGACCATAATTAAGCAAGATCGTGTGAACACATATATTGGAATGGAGTACGTTGAAGCAGAGCAGTTCTCATGTGGGTTAGCAGCAAGAGTCAGAGTACAGCGGATAATTATAGGGCAAAGACAGCCAAATTGCCCCATGTTTATTTTCATTAGCATTTGAAGAAACGGAGGAGAAGGATACCATTCAACTACAAGTGTTATATTAGCAGGCATCTAAGCACTCGCTGCTATTGGTAACTACAGACAAAATTGTAGGCTCACGTTGACGCCGGGGAGGGAGCCAGGAAGAGGTCTCAAAATACACCCCAGGCTTTCTGCACTTCAACTTCTTCTCTAGGGTTGCAGCGTGATTGATCGATTTTCAAGAAGAACCTTGAGTGTTTCAATCTAACTTTACATGCCTACACGACATAAAATTCAAGCAAAGGTAGGCAGGGCGCAATCCAGCAAAAATAGACGTAGACATTAATGACAGCGATAGAACCCTACAAAAATGCAAAAAAATAGTATGCAGGTTTTACTTCAGAGACTATACTAACGAGCAAAGTTGATTCCTACTCGGTTATTCGATGATATTAAACTACGACTTTATTCGCCAAACAAATTTATTACTTAAAAATGAACCTGTGCAATCATCAATCGGTATCGAGCTAACTCAAGACACTAAACTACACAATATGATCTAGGAAGTATTTAGAGCGAAGCGGTTGCTCCTTTGAGAATTAGAGGAAAAAACAAATAATTACACGAACTAAATTTATCTGTTGGCAGTTTAAAAAACGAATGAAAAAGCTCTGCAAAAGAGCAATTTATTATGAGAGTATCAGCAGTCTCCTGATTTTTCAATTGCATTTTACAACTACAAAAATATTAGGTTTCATTAAGTGCTCCTCCCAGCTAGTAGGAGATTTTATTAATAAAATATCTATGAAATCACATCAACGTCTGTATAATTACTCAAAGTCGCGTCTTAAATATTCTTCTAAAGATTCTTAAAGCTCATCAGTCGGATTAGCTGATATGTTGTGCAATCTGCGATATCACAGTTGTTCCTTTAATGACCCGTCTGAAAATGCCAAGAGGCAACAAGCCGTCCGCATTTCTACCAGAAATCGCTTGAAGTGTTATCTGATCGGTGGCCTTACCCATGGCTTTATGGCAAGACATACTTTTTCTGCTAGTGAAAGGCAGTGGTCCATACACAGGGGGTGCCAGTATAAATGGCACCCCCATTCATTCATCCTTTTGCCCGTGCGCTTTGTCGCACACGGTCTGCCT